AATTACTATATATATATATATATATATATATATATATATATATATTTACGTATAAACATGTTTTGTTTCAAATATTACAAATGTACATTGAATCAACAAAAAAGCAGACTTAAAAGTGACGTTCTTTTCTCTTCTTCTGTCCAATATCTTTTTTCTTTTTCTTTTGAACATGAAAAGAAAATTTGTTAAAATAATTGTAAAAATTAATGTTATTGTTTTTGTAAATATAAATATATGTTATATTTAAATGTTATATTTATTTACTGTTTTAGTACACTTGTATGATAGAGAAGAAAATATTAAATGGAAAACGATAATTTGTGTTTTTGAAAACGATATCCTTATTTTAACAGATAATGAAGATTAACAGATAATGAACATGAGACTAATCCATGGTTATAACAATCATCAAGAAATCAAATATTTATTGAATTATTAATTATTGAAAATCGCTGAATAAGGCCCATTCGGCCCATTGACAAATGCAAGCGTATAGCGATGTGCGATTATTAATATTACACTCGTTCGCGATTGCTAAGGGCACTGTGATGTATTTAGATGTATCTAAAAATGATCGAATATTTGCTTACAAGATATATCTCCAAACATTTCGTCTAGCCTCTAACAGCTGCGAATGCATATAACAGTCGGTAGGAGGTAGCACCTTGCAGTGTGCATTCGCCGATCGGGCAAATGCGCGTTTATACGGCAATTTTTAATAACTCATTATTAATTGCGAAAATCGCAAAATGGTACAGGACTTTTCTACTCAGTCTGATTCGCTCTATTTATGTATTCTATTGAAATAAGCGTTGTATTATTTCAAATTAGACACTGTATATATGAGTATATAAAGTATATAATTGATAAAAATAAATTCAAATTTCCTAACAAAATGGAATATAATTAATAATAATTCTTGGCAATAATTTGGCAATAATTTTTTACATCACCGGTAAGATATTATTACAGATTGAAAGATTATTACAGAGTGTTATAAAAAGTTGCAACAATTAGACTGCAATTAGTATTAGAATGAAAACAAGAACTTATAGTCTTTCGATAATGACAAGTAAGAATTAACAGTTTTCATCAATAACAAAATCTTATTGTTATTTTATTGTTCCTATATTTATCTTTTTTTGAAATACATTTCAATTGTAATATTTACATTGTAAAAATATATGTAAATTTAACACTTTGCTTATTCATTTTCTATTTTTCTCTTACTAAAAAATAAATACAATAGCTTTTTTTATTATTAAAGAGATGTGTTTAAAAGACATTATTACAACATTATTGCCAATATGAAAATACTGATAGAACGATTATTTAAGTAAAAATGATACATATTAATTGGATACTTGTTGCAATCGTTGAATAATATAGCAAAGAAAAAGCTCATACCATAATATAATATAAATATAATAATATAATAATATAAATGTTATATACCATAATAATATAAATGTTAGAAGTATTTACAAAACTTCAATCATTATTATTACAATTTCAATGCTACGTGTGTTTAAATGATAAGAGATCATCAAACATAGAAAAGTATCTTGTTTTCAAATATGAACAAATGACATTTTTCTTTAATGACATTTTTTGTAATGCTTTTCTCTAACATCTATCTATAAAAATATTTAATTTAATATTTATTTGCAATAGAAAGCAAACTTTTATTCCATTTTTCATTCATATAATATATTGCACGCCTTAAAGAAATTATATTGTATACTGATTCATATTGTATACTGTATATTAATTCGCATACATTGATTTAAGATACTTCGATCGATTATCTAAAATAATGCCAAGTTATTGCCTAAGTAGTCTCAATTGTTACTTTATAATGTTACACTAATCGCAAATGTAATCATTAATGTACTGTTACTCACATTTTCTTCGATTCTAAAAATCCTGCAAAGTTGTGGTATCATTATACATCGGGATTGGTTTTTTCTTGGTATTCAGATCAAATCACCTACAAAGTGCTTCATAAATGCGATACTTCAAGATAAAAAGAATGAAAATAAGCAGACCTTGGAAGCAATTAAGGATTTCACTTATATAAGGTACACATTTTCCTGATACTTGGAATTTAAATTTTTTATTACAAAATATGACACTACCACGTTAATCCATACTCCCATGACGATGAATAGCTTGTTTATGATAAATCTGTTGGAAAAAAATGATAAATTTACAACTTTTTAATACAAAAATGTTTAATAAAACAGATAACATACAATTATTAAAAAATATAGATAAAAGCAGATCAAATTTGAATGAATTATATATGTTTAGAACTTTTAATCCTTGATTGTTACATCAAAGAGCTTGTTTATCAAGTGTTCCTCATTCTTAGAATTTTTATAAATAAAGTTATTCTCGTATCTTTTCTTCATGTATTCTTCATAAGGAAAAATGCACCGCACCTCTTCAATAAATTAAAGAAGTAATTAATATTTGACTAATTAATTGATGTTTTAATCTAAAGAGACCTTTTTACCTGTTTCAGAATTAAGTGTAATTTTTATAATTAACCCGAGAATAGTCACCTCATTTTTTGCGTAAACGGTGGGGTATTTTTTCACCCCAATTAAAAGTCATTGTTATTTATTACATATTGTAAATTATTGATTGTCTATAATTTATTAATATCTAAAGACATTATAGATATAGGTTTAATCAACATTTTTTGAAAAAAGTAAGAAGAAACCAAGAAAAAAATAAACAAACGGAAAAAGGACATTAAGTAGCTGTGATGTGAGTTTCATTTTTTCGACGCTGGAATGTAGAAAACACCCCAGGTGACTATTCTCAAATTAAGAACTGTTGAAATTATTCTAATTATAAAAGATCATATTTTCTGTTCTATGTCTTATTATAAATTTTTTAAATATGTTTCTTTTCATTTTTTATTGAAGAAATTTAAGTTTTACTTCGCCATATACTAAAATATCACACAATTTTTCAATATAACGATAAGAACAAGAAAGATCAAAATGTAACTCGCAAAATAAACAACAGAACAACTAAAAAATGTCATTTTCTATTTTTTATAATGCATTTTATCATGAATTTTGATTATGCATCTTACTAGAAATTAAAAAAATATTTTTTTATTTCTTTATTGAAGATATTTGATTTCTACATAGTTAAGTATCAATCATCAATATTGCGGTTCTCTTTAAAGATTAGAGTACAAGATTAATTCAATTATTATTCATAATTTACCTCCAGAAGATTGTTGGAATCAAAAACATCGAGTGACGTTATCACAAAATTTTTAGATTCTCCGCACTGAGAAATTCCTTGGAATGTCGCGGTAATATTTCAATGGTGAATGTAAAGCTTTGTCATTGATTCCAAAATGCACTTCACAGTGGAATATCGTAATAAAACTTCGCCTGGAGGACAATATTTCGCCAGGTGTGATTCCGACACTGTCATCGAAATAAAATTAACCTGAACGAAATGAGCCTGTACATCGTGGACATAATCATATAAAAATGCAATTACTTACCCAAGGCAAACAATTTTTCCTGATTATTATCCCTCTTTTGGACATTGCTCGATATCCAAATTACTACTTCCTGATTATTATTTTCCTTATCTTTCAATTACCAAAATCATGCTCTAGTTTTTATTTTATACTTGCATCTTCTTTTTCTTATTCTATATGTATTCTGTATTTTATTTCAGTTTTTGTAAAAATATGGTT